GGCAAGGGTGTGGAGAGATTGGAACTCAGATACACTGCTGGTGGGACTGTAAAATGGTACAAATACTATGGAAAGCAGTTCAGTGTTTCCTTAAAAAAGTTAGAATTAGCATTTGATCCAGTAATTTTTAGGTATATTCTTGTTAGACTACATCATGTCAACTACAACTAATAGTGACCCTATGAACCTTGTCCTATATTGTACCATCAGGTATATATCCCAAACAATAAAAACTGTAACATGAACAAGATGCATAAATCCTAAACAATAAGAGCTGCAAATGAAGGCACATCTGTGATCACTGTGGCATTATTTACAATATCAAAGAGATGGAAACAATATAAGTATCCATCAATGGACAAATGGTTAAAGGAACAATGGTATATTCACACAACTGAGCACTTTGCAACATTCAAGAACAATAAAGAATTTGAGAAACACTGCATGAAATAATAGATTAATCAAGACAGTATTATGATAAGTGAAAGAAATTGGTCACAAAATGGCATGCTTTATATGAGGTCACTTATAAAAAGCTAAAAGGGGTTTACACTAAAGTAAAAGTTTACTGAAAGAATCATTCTTGGATTGTTACCAGGAATGGGAATAGAGTGAAAATTAGTAAATAGATAATGTTGTTATGTAGCATTGAGTCAGAACTGACCCATGGCTGACCCTCCAGCGAGTTTTCAGAGGCAGTTTAATAGTACAGGAGAAGATTCTTTATCAAGAAATACAGTCAAAAGCGAGGCTAGCCAGCCTGGGCCTAGGGTTTGAACCAGGAGGTGGCCTTAAGCCAAAAGGCAGCTGGGAGAGGAAGTGCCCATGTTGTTCCTGGTTGGCTCCCAGGGTCTTGGGAAGTTCTCCTTGCCAGAAGGAACATGGTGGTGTGAGCGCAGGAATCATGGCAAGCTTTTGGAGTCAACTGCTTTTCCAGGCATGTGTTTGTTACTTGCAGGTTTGCTCTATTCCCGGGAGCGAGGCTAGCCAGCCTGGGCCTGGGGTTGGAACCAGGAGGCAGCCTTAAGCCAAAAGGGCCCTAGGGGCTGCAGCCCTCGGGACAGGTTCAAATTTTTCCTGTCAAACGTTCTTCTAGGTGGTATAGCACTGGTCTGTGTGTTGCTGTACAGAGGTAACTCGTGGTGGCTGTGATGCTGAAGCCTGTGACAGTGATGTGCCAATCAAGGTAATGGGTACCCATGGTGGACAGTGTTGACTGGAGCTTCCCGACTAAATCAAGCCTGGAAGCAGGAGCGAAATGGCTTGCCTCCGGAAACTCTATGTACGAACAGTGCTCAGGCTGTTTGTTCATAGGGTCACTATGAGTCGTCTATGACTCGATGGCACCAAGCAACAACAACAACTATATATATATAGATATATATATATAT